CAGTGGGTCCATAGGTTGTAGAAAATAATAGTATAAAATTCTTCAACAAACAAAAGTTACATTTAGTATAACTTATTGTCGTGATGGAGAATACCAAGCTAACAGAGTTTTATCCGTATCTCAGAGTCAGTCCGAAGTAGAATAACTAAAGGGCTTTGGGTCTGGACTCAAGCAAATTTAAGGTGGGTCTTTCAAAGTAGTGTACTAAGTAGGAGTAGACAAAGTTTATGGTATAGCTGTTTAGGGTTGGTTGTCAAAGTTAAGTGAAGGTAATGACAAGTAAACTTATTGATAAGCAAACTGTCAGAGTGAGAATATTATTTTCATTTTACATTGATTTACTGGCATTTCTTAAAGAAAACAGTGAATTTAATTAACTGCTTGCAATCCCATCTTTCCAAGACTAAAGTTACCTAGAAGAAGCAACAAAGTCATGTTGACACAAGTGGTCCATAGTTCTATCCACGTCAAACTCATAGATGTTCTCAATTCTTAAAAACTACAATTTAAATATGAGAAAAAAAATTTTCAAAACTGTTATATTGTTGAATAACAATAAAAGTAAAATTATAAATTATCAAGGGAAACAAAATTATAATTTGAGACTTATAAAATATCAATCCCATACAAGACTTGAATATTAATTACACTGAATAAGTGTATACTCACCAAAGAGTACACACACAATGAGTTGAAATATTCAACCATGTACATAGCCACAAAGAAAACCTCAGTGTATTTCTAAAATCTACATCATTTACAGTTTAGTTAAATTAATAAAATTATACATTACTAACAAAATACCAAATCTGAAAAATAGAAAAATGTAATTAAATAACTTTTCAGATAAAGAGAAATACCATAAAGAGGTTAATACATATTTACAACTGCCTGCCAAAGAGAGCATTTTAGGGCAAACCTGACAAACACAGGTAAAGTGAGAATTTAGACCAAAACTTTTATTCCAAAATGTGTTCCTCAGATGAAACACAAATGATTTGAACATTCAACTAAAAAAGTCTGAATTACATCAACAAGGTAAAATTAAAGATGCAAGAAGGAAAAAAATAACTGAAATCAGAAATCAGTAAGAGTTGGAGGTATAGCTCAGTGGTAAAGTGCTTGCCTAGCAGGTGTGAGATGCTGGGTTTGGTTCCCAGAACTACAAAATTTAAAAAAAATCAATAAACTAAAGGAGATGGTCAGAATGGATATCAGAGAATGCAATGTGTAATAGGGACCAAAAGGGTGCTTTTGCTAAAAGAATTGACTCTTTATTTGGGCTTGTGGTTGTCTCTGTAAACTTTTCAGTTCTGCACATAGACATGTTAACAACTTAAGAGGTATTAATCTAAAACTGTTAATACATGAATGATTTGTCTTAAACTTATTTAATTTCTCTCATTCCCCTTCAAGGCCAAAGACACCAAGAAAAGATATTTCCAAGGGTCTAGGACCAGTAAGTCTTACAGGCAGATGAGAAATGTCATGACTGTCCCATGTAGGATGGCAATCTAGACTAATTCACCTGCAGCCTAGAAAAATAACTTCATGACAGGAACTGAATGGGAACCAAATTGCCCTTCAAGGAATAACCATGTTCCCAGAGCCAACAGGAGCTGACAGAACCAGACTGAGATCGTGATCAACCAGATCACAGATTGACTAAGACTGACTGCTTGACTATGCATATCCTCCCCTCCCCTTCCCCCACCCCACTCCATGGTTTGGTCTTCCTGTACATAATCCTGACATTCTTATCAGTATGCCAAATACAGGCCTTAGGATGCTGGTGCCCCATGTCTTCCCAGAGTGGCCATACTGACCACCACTAGTCTTAGATTGGACTCTTGAAGTAACAGGTAGCTGAATTTGGGTTGTTGGGTCCCAAATCTGATCTGTTGGACCCACAGACTCCATTAACAAATGAACATATTATTATTTGCTATCAAAGAAAATAGAAACCTAATAGGTAAAACAGGCAAGAGGTGTTATTTTGGCTGCTACCTAACTCTCTTTTTTCAGTTTCCACTGACTGACGAGTACTTTCTAAAAAAAAAAAAAAAATCCCCAAACTGAAAAACACTTTTTACAAAGACTTTTGTAAAATAGATCTTGCATGAATCCAGTGAAAGATTCACATCACTTTGCATATTCAAAAGTAAAAGGGGCTTTTTAACTTTCAAAACCTGTTGGTGGTACAAATAATTTTCTACAGTTTAAGGAAGAAAAAAGAAAAGTCCTGAGCAAATCCCTTACCCATTTAACTTTGAAAACATTTCTTGGCTGGGCTCTGTGGCTTGTATCTGCAATCCTAGCTACTCAGGAGGCAGATATCCAGGGGATCGTGGTTGGATGCCAGCCTAGGCCAAAAGGTAGCAAGATCCCATCTCAACAAAAAAGCTAGTCATGGTGGTGAGTGACTGTCATGCTAGCTATGTGCTAAGCATAAATTGGAGGATCATGGCCTATGCTGCCCTCAGGAAAAAAAAAAAAAAAAAAAAAAAAAAGAGAGAGAGACCCTACCTGAAAAATAACTAAAGCAAAAAGGGCTAGGGGCATGACTCAAGTGGTAGCGCACCTGCTAGCAAGCACAAAGTCCTGAGTTCAACCCTAGTACTACACACACACACACACACACACACACACACACAGAACAAAATCTAATGCACTAATGTTTTCAAGGACTGCCAATATTATTCTTCTTGTACCTTTTGCCTGCATTTTCTTTACTTAACATAATGATAGTAGTAGTAAAATAACATTTTTAAAGGAAGTACATTAGCATGTACTTAATATTCTATTCAAATAATACAATATTTAACACATTGTGAGACATGTTCACTTTATTTTTTTTTTTTCAGTCTTCAAGCAATGCTCGGCTTCATGGGTACTGGAAATGCACGAGGTTCTCAATTTTGGCTGTCTATTTGGATTCTGATGTCCAAGTCTTACTCCAGACCAGTTAAGCCAGAATTTTAATGGTGTGTTCAAGCATCTGCTTTTGAAATCACCTTCTGTGACTCCAAGTGCAATCAAAGTTGAGAATCATTTTACTGGGACAAGGTTACAAGGGAACTCCTACTTCCACCTAAATTTTATCTCAGTCTGTCCCTAACTCATCTCTCCTCACAGCTTTGTCATGGTCTGAAGACAAATGTGGCAAACAGGTTGAATACCTTTATAGCAGGATGATGGAAAGAAGAGCAATACACTGACCTTGTGGAGATCCCAAAGTATGTGAGCAAGCTGTGAAAGACTGACTGCCAGGAGAGAATTTCATAAAGACAAATAAAAACATTCCAAACTTGGGCACAGTAAACCAACCCACAAATGCAGAGTAACCTAGATGTGACAAAATAACAGTACACATGAAAAAATTAGTGAGGAATTTAGTTTAAGAGTAGTTCGAGTTAACACACTGATTTGGCTGCCAGAAAATAAGCTTCATCCAAGGCTATATCAACAAATATGTGCTGTCTGGACAAGGAATATCCTTTTCTGCATGCTTGTTAGAACATTCTAAATATTGAGCCATTTTCTGAGCAGTATACTTTATGAACATAAACTTACAGTATGACTGATGAAGGAAACTGGTGGTGTCATATGGGGAAGAAAGACGTTTCATTGAGAGGAAAACTAGTACAGGGAGAACCTGACATTTTCTAAATATTTGATGAACTTATATGTGGAAATTAGATTAGATTCATGCTGTAAAACTCCAAAAGTCAAAAGCAAATGCTTTTGATATGGAAGGAAATGCTTTTCAGCAATGCTGACCTCAATAAAGGGACTGGGATGCCACAGAGTGGAGAGTCCCTTGTCTTTGGAGATATTTAAGCCTTCAAGTAAACATGGAGAGCTCCAATTCTTCTAAAGATCTGAATCCTATAAGAAAGTCTCTTGCCTATTTACCATTTTACAAACCTGTAAGATCAGTGTATTTAAAGTAGCTTGGGAGCAAATGTGAGACTTTTCATGTTCTGCACGCTATCCAAACTCCTTGGCTGAATCCTCTAAAACCTATTCATCCTGCCCCAAAGAGGGAGACTAGGAAGGGAGATAGCTAATGCCATCAGCAACACAACACAGCTGTTACAATGGGGGAAATGCAGTCATTTTCTGCCAGTATCACCTCATTCCTGGAATATGCTTAACAGACTTTGGTCCCTGTTTATCACCCTCTTTCTCTTGTAAACCCAACTTTTTGTGGAAACGGACCCTGACCCTAGGTTTCTTTAATCTCCGTGAAGATTTTGGCTCTTCTCTCCCTGTACTGGAAGTTCAAGGCTTCAAAAGGTCATTAGCATCTATCTCAATGGACTGCACTGCATTTTGAGAAGTCCTGTACTACCTACTTGCTTCATCAGGCAACTCCATGTTATACAGAGGGAGGGAAAGAGGTCTCCTGGAAGAGGGAGAGGGGGTGTCCACTTTTAGAACTTTTAGAACTCCCCAGCAGTTTCTAAACTGCAAGGAATAGGACAAGAGCCAGAGGCTTCCAAAGACAAAGGGTTGCCTCCCTCCTACCCACTATACCTACATTCTCCCTGCTCCAACTTTGCCAAGCTTGGAAAGGTCGCCCCTAAAGCTAGTCCTGTTAGTCCCAGGATTGAACTTGTACCTCTGGCCGCCCACTCCCTGGGGGGGGGATGGGAGCGGGAGAGGGAAGCGCGAGGGAGGTGGGGCTGCTGGGGAAGAGGCGAGGGAAGTGGGAGCTGGAGGGAGAGCTTCCGAGGGAAAGTAAGAGGGGAGGGCAGCCGGGCTCGGCACGCTCCCTCCCTCGGCCGCTTTCTCTCACATAAGCGCAGGCAGAGGGCGCATCAGTCATGCCCTGCCCCTGCGCCCGCCGCCGCTCAGCCCCGCGCGCACAGGAGGCTCCAGCGCCGCGGAGCTGCCGGGCCTCGCCTCCGCCACCACCGGGCGCCCCACCGCCCTCCTCCCGCCCCAGGCACCTCCGCCACCGCCTCTGCCGCAGCTCCCGTAGCCCGGCTCCTTTCACTTCAGGGAAGGGGAGGGAGGAGGGGACCCGGGCTCTGGTGGCTCTAGACCAGTTGAACCTAGAGGGGCATTTGGGCTTTCCCCTCCTCTTTGCAAAGAGCAAAACCAAAACCGCGAACCGTGGAGCCTTCCTCCCTCGCCCTCGCTTCACCTCGCCGGCTGCGAACCAGGGGAGCTCGGATGTCCGGTTTCCTGTAAGGCTTTTACCTGACACCGGTCGCCTTTCCCAGGCACTGGCTGGAAGGGCGACTTGCAAAGTTGGGAACGCAGAGCCCCGGACCCGCTCTCGCCGCCTCCGGCTTGCACAGGGGGGTCACCGGGAGGAAATTAGGAGTAAAAGGGACGAGGAGGGGCGCTCACGCCCCCACCCTGCCCCCTCCAGAGGACCGGCCTCCCCACTCCCGGTCCTTCCACCATGCACTTGCTGGGCTTCTTGTCTCTGGCGTGTTCCCTGCTCGCCGCTGCGCTGCTCCCGGGTCCGCGAAAGGCGCCCGCCACCGCCGCCGCCTTCGAGTCCGGACTCGGCTTCTCCGACGCAGAGCCGGACGCGGCCGAGGTCAAGGTAGGTGCCGGCATCGCGCGGTTCTAGGGACCCAGGCCAGGGCGGAGTGGGGTGGCGGGCTGGCCAGGGACTGCAGTGTGTAGGTCTACTGAAGACTTGAGCGAAGAGCGTACGTATGTCTTCGACCCTGGGTACACTGGATTCAAAGTTACTGAGCTCAGCGCTTCTTTGCAACAAAGTTTTTCTTTCTTTCTTTTTCATTCAGTACAAAGTTGTTACTAGATAGCAAAGCAAGTTACACGAGGGACGGGCCCAGAGAGGCGCCTAGTGATGCAGGCGGATCCAGTCTCTTTTGGAGTGATTCTCAGTTGGTGCAAAGAGGGGAGCTTGAACCCTGCCCTGTTAGTGTGGCTCTGGGACCATTTTATTCTGGTCGGCAAATGCTCTTTTCTTTCCCAGGCTGATTCCTGGGATTCCAAACAGTTTCTGAGGCAAGAATGATGAATCAACCCAGGCTTCTTTTCCTGAAGCTTTCATAGTGTGCAGAGCACCCGGTGCTGTGCGCTGTTCTGGAAAAAGTGTAAGGGAGTTTAATAACGGGGCTAGAGGGCTTCAGACTGCACGGTTCACTTGATGCTGGTCAAACTTAAGAGGTTAGAGTCATTTAAATCATCATCAAACAGGTTTGGTTATTTTTTCCTCCAACTTTATGAATGCTGCATTTGTAAAGTCTGATTATGGCAGACTAAAAAAAAATTAAGGTGTCTTTTTCTTGTTTATGTTACTTTGTTTTAAAATAAGAGGTGTTTAATTCTTTGCCTGAAGATGGTGTTAAGATGCATTTGAAGGCATTCTGATTTTCACAAATAAGTTTTCTACCCAGTTTATGCCTACTTCTTACTGGATTCTTCTGAAGAGTATATATTTACTTTAAAAGTTCATGCCTCACATAACAATAGAGTATGCTTAGCAAAGTTTCTGAACTCCTGGAGAAGTTTTATATTTAACACACTGTGAGGCATCTCAGTTCACACACTTGCAGGCCCCCTGGCTGCAACTAGACTGCAGTGGTTTATTTCAACTGATGGCAAGTGGAGAAGTTCCAGTGGTGTGTGACTCTACACTTTCAGTTGACTTTCTGATGAACATATACTGAATGTTTGCAAATCAAGTTGCCTTCCCAATTTTATTTTGAGATACACTCTAGGACTGAGAAGACTAAAAAACTGCTTTTGTACTTAAATTTTGGGAAATAACTCTTGGGATTTGTAGTTCAGTATAGGGGGTCAAGAAAAAAGTTCTGGTAAAAACGATGTATGTTAAGTAGTAGAAAATTGTGCATAGTACAGGGTGCCAGTGGCTCACACCTGTGATCCTAGGTTCTCAAGAGGCAGAGATCAGGAGGTTCACAAGACCCTATCTAAAAAACAAAACAACAACAAAAAACCTTCACAAAAAAGGGCTGGTGGAGTGGCTCAAGGTGTAGGCTGAGTTCAAGTCCCAGCACCACAAACCAAACAAAAACATAGCATTGTGCATAGTCGCTTTGAACCCAATACTACTTACTGTAATTTGAGTTCTTCAATTTTGTCATGCCTATTCACTTTGTGTTGCTGCGAAGTCAAACTAGTATGCCTTAGTAAGGCAACATGTCTATTATCTGTGGTAACTTACTTTGATTTACAATAAAAAAAATGTAAAGCATTAAGAAAATGAGAATCATTTCCTGATTAAGCCAATATCTTATGCAAGAGTCACTCACTGCTGGGTCAATCCTGAATGAATGTGCCCATGTGTGTGTGTGTGTATGTGTGACAGAAAGAGAGAGAGAGAGAGAGGTCATGTGTACACACCCCATGCTTTTATCATCTACAAGCATGGAATTGAAGGATTAGAAAAAAAGTTTTAGTTTTCTAAACTGTCATCACTGGTGATGTAATCAAAATTTCCCTCTGCTGTGAAAGTCTGTGAATTTTTGTTTGCAAACGTTGTTTTTCATATTTAGCTGTCTTTTCTGTATGGTGAATATGAGTTGATATTCTTTATGAGACATAGGTTATTGTCCTATGTGGCAAAATATTAAATCTCTGAGCTCCATAGACTACAAGGCAGTGTATTACTATTATATTAAACAGATCCCTAGTGGATGAATATAACTTTGACAGGGAATGTGTCAGATTCCTTCAGTAAAACTGCTGTGTCCTTGCTGTGAAACTTGCATGCAACTGACTCAAAGACTGATCCAAAGACTCCATGTCTCTCTCTAGTGGTTTATACCAGCATTTCATTTCCATGTGAGCATTTATTGGGTTCCACTTTCTAATTATTGATGGTTATATGATTTAATGAAAAATCCTAAAATGTTACTCTGAAGGATAGTGGTATAAACAAATCAATGTCAGACAAGTACAGCAGGCAAAAGTAAAATTAACTGGGCATGATGGGAAAGAAGAGAAAATATTTAAAATTGTCACCAAAGTTAACTGCAAAACTTAGGAGAAGCATTAGGTTTCTAAATCCATAATTTGCAGTACAAATTTTTGTAGTGTTCACACTGGTTGGTTGGAGTTGAAGAGTTTTATTTTAAGTGAGTACTTGATTTATGACACGAAATAAATAAAAAGGAAGAATTACTTTATATGAAATATAGTTATGAAACTTTTTTCTAAAAAGTGGGTTATGACAGGGACTATAAATACCTGGATCCTTATATAATTTAGCTTACTGGATTTTTTGTCCACCATTAATAATTCTGTATAGTTTTCTACATGATTTATTTTTTATTTGTCATTTCTACGTAATCACTAACAGTGTGTCTCAAATGTGTGTGTCAACTGCATCAAAACTCTCTAGAGGCCTTTAATTTATTTTCCCCCTAAGATCAACTACATCTCTGAACTTGGGTCTAGAATACATTTAAATTAGCATCTTACGTAAGATGAGAGTATTGGATGAACTAATCTATGATGTACACCAATGACTAATTTCCTTTGTTTTATCATCTTTTTTATATAATTGTTGAGCTTGGAGAATAATTTATTAGGCATGGAGCATTTTGAAAGACATATGCAATTTTTCCTCTCAGGAGTTTATAACTCAGTTGAAAAAGTTATGACTGATAAATAGAAATACTACAAAATTTAATTTCTCTATTGTTAAGAAGTTATAGCAAAGCATTGTGTGTTCTCAAGTTTGTGTGAGAAACTCTTTTGTGTGGCCTGTTGGATCTGAGAGCAGAGCTTGAATTGTCACTTGGATGTGAATTTCTAGCAGATGAAGTCATCAAAACCAGAAGTCCACTTACACTCTTGGATGGGAAAGGAAGATGAAAAGGCAAGAAGAACAGTCTGGAGCTGAGGGGCTATGTAGAGTAACAGTGAATTACCTTAGGCAAGAGTAAGTTTCCAGAGATAGAGTGCTACCAATTATGGCCTGAACCATTTTAAGGAGTTTAAATGTTATGCTGCTGTAGGTTTTGGAGGGTTATCATAATCCTAGCAGCTGAATAAAATAAGCAATAAGAAAACCATTGAAACTGTTCATAAGATGGGTTTAACATCTAAAGGACTTTTACCAGAGAGGGGATCCTACTTAAGAAGTTTAGATGAAAAGTGATGAATAGCCTGAGCAGAGTATTGACACTGGGAACAGATTAAGGAGATTGAGCTGTTACAGAGAAAGGACCCATGGATCTTGAGATGGAGTAATGTAAGAGTTAAGGGAGTGACTCCCTGGATTCAACATTTTTTAACAATAGGAAAAATGTTGAATTTTCTTGTAGGATTAGGGTAATTCAGAGAAGAGACTGTAATTCATGGATAGTTAGTGGATGATGACAACATTTATTCCATAGGCCACTTAAGATTTTACTAGACATAGGACATCTTTGAAGAAGCAAAATAAGCTTTATGAATTTATATCCCATTAAAGTGGAATAAGTGTCTGTGGTCAACAGACTTAACCTGTGTAATATTCTTAAAATACTTAAGTTAAATGCTTAAGTGTCAGCATTTGACTGCTGACACTGCAATCCAAATGGGAAAATTTAAAGTATGTATAAACTATAACTATGAAATAAAAACTTGAATGATTTTTATTCAAATATAGTAGGCCATAAATGTGGCTATAATTTTAAATCATTTACTTGGAGTTTTCTCTGTGCTTTGTATTATAATACTCATACATGTTGGTAGGAGCTCCAACCTTAACACTCTATAGGAAGACGGTTCAAGATTAGGTAGAGGAAACCTGTAAACTCTTCTTCACTTTACCTGCATCAATTTATGTTAGCAGCTCAGAGTCTGACTTCCCAGTAACTCCTCTCTGAATGGGGCAAAGTTTGCATAACCAAAGAATTCAATCTTTATCCCCTTTTCCTGAGTTATTCAGTTCCATCATAGCAAGCCTATAACTGTTATGCTCACAGATTTCCTCAGAGAATATGACTTCTTTTGTGAACTTCCTCTCTTAAATTTCTGATATTACTCTGAGTGATTCCAGCTATCTATGGATTTTGACATGAAAAGATCAATTCATCTTTCCTTCTGGTTGCTGCTTCTTTCTTTTTTTTTTTCTACTGAACTATGATTTCCTCATTTTTTTTCTGGAGACTCTGGGGTTTGAACTCAGAGTCTTATGCTTGCTAGATAAGCATTCTACCATTTGAGCCAAGCTCCCAACTTTTTTTGCTTTATTTATTTTTCAAATAGGGTCTCATGCTTTCATCCTGGCCTGCCTGGGATCTCAATTGTCTTACCTCTGTTTCCCCCATAGCTGGGACCACAGGCATGTGCCACCATAGCAGGCTTGTTCTTTGAGACAAAGTCTCACTAGTGTTTTGCACAGGCTGGCTTCAAATGTTTTCCTTTCTTCAGTTTTTCCTTTTATTTATTTATGTTTATATTTACTCACATGTGTATACATTGTTTTGACCACCTCCCCTCCCCTCCCACTTATGAGCAGAACAACTCCTGCCCTCTTGTTCTCCAATTTTGTTGAAGAGAAAACATAAAAGATAATAAGAAAGACAAAGTGTTTTTGCTAGTTTGAGATAAAGATAG